CTGCAGCCTCTCCCAATAGCTTACAAGTAAACTAGGAATAAATTACAGAAATCACAGCTGATCCCAAAGCAGTTCTTCCCTATTTGCCCCTTGCTAGGCTAACACATCAGCCAAAGCATTTGTTGATCTCCCCATCCACTATATAGAAACCAATATATTCCTTGTCAGCCAATTAAATTTCTTAATTTAATTCTTGTAGCACCACATTGTATCTGCCTACTTATTTTCTGGAACCTGTTTCAGGCTTGCAAATGCATCAGGGGCATTTATTTATCCTATTTATGGCCAAGGAGAACTACCACAAGCTTTTTGCCGTTGTGCTGCTGTTAAGGGTGCTCTCTACGTAAGTCTCAATCACTACAAGTTATCTCCTTTAGGGGGCAGCATTTTGTGTTGATAGGTTTTTTTTTCTTGATTTTCTTTCATGGATATTTGTGATTGGAAACTTTCATGGTAATTATGTCATATGCATTTCTCTAAAACATTATCACTGTTCTTGTTTACTTTTGTAATATTGATGAATCCATCAATTGCTGCTGGTTTTACAATGTTGTTTTTAAAACTTAGCTGTAGTTGTACTAATATGATTTAAGTTTTTTTCCCTTTATATGTGCAATGCAATTTTTTTTTTTTTTGATAAGCAGAATAGAAATTGTATTACTGAAGAGGGAGATGGTCTCTCAGCCACCACAATATCATCAACAGCCACTATATATTTTATACAAGCTGATGCTGTTGGTTTTTAAAGTGATCTCCATCAATCCCTTAAAAAAGCTTCCAATCAAATAAGAGAGTAAAAAAGACAGACAGTTATTAAAAGAATAGAGAGTTCTCGTTACAGATAGTGGGGATGTTCAGTAATTGGGCAATGTTATTTTGCAAGTGCTTAGGTGGTGCTTGTGTTTATTGGGGTAGAGCTTTGTGTAGCAAGGGAGGAGTGACGTTTAGAGGTTTTGAGTGTTTTTTCTCTCTTTCCTCCAGATGTTTTTGGGTTTTTTTTTTTTGCTCAGGTTTTGGGTTCTCTTTTTTTTTTTCCTTGTTTGTGTGGGTGAAGCTGTTCCAAGGGGAGTATTTGGGGTCTTTTGTTTTCTTCTTTTCCTTGGTGATTTCTTATAACCTCTCTCGTATGTTGTATCCCATTTCTTTTATTCCTTAATAAAATTTTCTTTATAATTTATTACCAAAAAATTCCATTCAAAAAGCTTCAAATTTCTCATAACCTGCAGTTCAATCTTTTCAAGCAAGGTTGCCCCAGGTAAAGATTTATCTTGAAAAATATGCAAATTTCTTTCCTTCCATAAATGGCCATGGGAACCACTTACCATAAGGCTTTGCCTCTTTTGGACAGCCCACCTTGCTTCCAGGCTGATATTAAACCGTGAATATCAGGTGAATTCACCCACTGTAAATAAGAGCCTCACAAAATGGGTCTCCACCTGATCGGAGTATTTCCAAGACAATTTAAGTTTAGATGGTTGTTTCTGCTGTGACACTGAACAGAGCTGAATTACAGACTGGGTTGGGACGAGGTTTTGTTGAGTTGAGTTGAGTTGTTTCTGACACCAAGTAGTTCTTGTTGGTGCTTCCCATGGCTGTCATTCATTTGAATGTATCAGCTTCTAAAATGGTCGTGCCAATCCTTTCCTAGCCTGGATGATGGAAGTCAGATCTAAAAGCAGTTTATTGTCTGTTTTTTCACATGCTTTCATCTACTGAATTTGGTTTCTAGTTGGTTGATGGTTCTGTTAGAGATTAAATGCCATGCACTGCAAACCAAATGAAAATTTTGGGAAATGGAATATTGTGCTAAAAGAACGTTGAATTATTATGTTGATACTCAATACTTAAGTGTCATATGATTTAATTACCCTAAGCTCGATATGTTTATCAGGCCCTTGGTTAATTGGCCTGGATTGGTGGATATGACATAGATAGACATTTTTTGGGGGGATCTAGATGGCATAGCATGGTCTGTTGAAATATGGTTGTTGGATTTACAGCTCTTGAATGGCATGGCATAAACTAGCAAGGCACCACTGTTCCTTCCCATCTATGCATCGGTGAAAGCTTGAGAAACTTCATGTCCTGCCTGAAAGGCTTAAAACACATGGGTAACCTTATCAAAAGATAAATAAATAAATAAAACACAAGGGCAACCATGGCCTTGGGATCCACTACTCACACATGCAAGAAAGGTCCAATCTCTTTCTACACCAGTAGGAAGATTTCGTATAGAAGGGGGTGGTGAGCCGAAGTAAGAAAGAAGGGGACCTAGGATTATGAAATGTCGTTAGCAAGAATGAAGCTCTTCTAGCAAATGGCTTTGGAGGTGGCCTTTGGGGGAGAGATAGATAGATAGATAGATAGATAGATAGATAGATAGAGAGAGAGAGAGAGAGAGAAGTGGCTAGTATCCTTGACTTCTCTGAAACCAGTTGGGGTATCTTGATGGGCCTTACAACACCTTGGAAGGCAATTTTTGGCGCACTCCCTAAATTCCTCAGGTTTGTAAGGTATGATGTTTCCTCTTTAAAAAGAAGCCTATTTCAAGGTTCATTTCCCCTTTGGTTCTCCCATTGACTTAAATTGGGACTTTGGATTTCATAGAGGTTTAAGGGATGAAGAATCAGCTTGTGTCTCTAAGCTTTTACTTCTAAACTTTGTGTTTGGACCCTCTTAAACTTGATAAAAGAATTTGGACCTTGACTCTGAATGGATTCTTCTCCCTCCTTTGGGGTGTTCCTTGTTAAAGAGATTTGGTCAAGGCCTATACCTCCTAAAATTGCTATCTTCTGCTAGGAAGCTTATTATGGTAAGATCCATACTTTGGATAGCCTTTAAAAGAAGAGACCTTATTTGTGTTTATCCCCAAACTGGTGTATTTTGTGTGAAGCAAAGAGTGAAGACGGTCACCACTTGCTGATATCTTGTGTTTTTTATGCTAATATTTGGAATTGGGTTTTTATGATGTTTGGGTGCAGGTGGAGCTTGCCCTCTGTAGTATTTGCTTTTTGAACCAACCACCTTTGGGTGACCAACAAAGAGAGGGAAACTGATGTGGAAGTGTGTTAGAGCAGTTATTTTGTGGACCATTTGGGAGGTGAGGAATGCCAAAATTTTCCAAGAAAAAGAAAGAAGCCTAGCCAAAGTAAAGGAGTGCATATTGATAATAGCAATGCTATGGCAGAAAACTTTAGACCTTTTTGTGAATTATTCCTTTGATGATCTTCAGAAGAGCTGGGCAGAGGCGGCCTCCACAACCTCCAAAAAGAATAGATTAAAAGCAGAATGAAGACCTCCTCCGAAGGGAGGGGTAAAGCTGAATTTTGATGGGAGCAGTCAAGGTAATCCAAGGCCATCAGGCATAAGAGGGGTTTTGAGAGATAAGGATAGTAACATCTTATCCCTATTTTCTAGATCAGTAGGAGTTGGTGACTCTATAAGGGCTGAGATACTGGCTCCTGTACAAGGAATACAGGTTGCAAACCAACTTGGAGTGGAGCTTGATAGTTGGGGGGACTCCAAGGTGGTAGTGGGTTGGCTGTCAGATCCAGATACAATTTTCTAGGGCTACAGGGATCTTCTCAAGAAAGTTAAGTGGCTTACACGAAACATGTCAGTAAGTTTCCAGTGGGTTTAGCAGATCAGTAAATGCTATGGCTAACATCTCGTGCCTCCTCTTAGGGTGACTGTACACTTTCTTCTCTTCTTAATAAAATTACCACTCATTTATTAGAAAAAAAAAAGATTCCAAACAGTTCCTGATTCCCTCAAGTTTTCATTTCATCTAATAGGAGTGGGGGACTCATTGAGAGTGGAGGTGATGGCCTTGCTTCAAGGTGTAAGATATGCAAAACAGTTGGGGTTACACCAAAATGAGATAGAGGGAGACTCTAAATTGTTGATTGAGTGGCTGCAATCTAGTAAGTTGGGAGCCTGGATTTATAGACAGCCCATAAGGGAAATCCTCAACATAACAAGGGAGATCGGTGCATGCTTCAAATGGACAAGGAGATCAGCTAATGGTTTAGCTGACACGTTGGCTAAACAAGGGACTGTGAGGGAGAGTATGTTCTGGGCAGTTTTGTAAGAAAGATTACTGGGGGCTCAACACCTACTTGGGGGTTGACAGCTGTACTTAAAATCTGGAAAGTTATTTTAAGTAATATTAATGAAGTTACCGTTTCCAATCAAAAAAAAAAAACCTCCAGCACATCCAGACTGCTGCAGAGGTTGTATATGTTTGCTGTGAAACTCAGTTTAACATCCACGACTTTGCAATTGGATGCTTTGGTATTGTCAGATAAATGTGAAGGTTTTTTTTTTTTATGGATGTCTGACAATATTTTCTTTCCATCCAATCCACCAAAACAGACTATTTCCCTGACTAAAGCCTGTTTGTAAGCAAAGTTACTCCACTCTTAAAGCATGGTATATTTATATATATATTGTATGTTGTGTGTGTGTTTTGAGAAAAGGTAATTTTCATTAAAACAAAAAAGGTGAGGTGATGGATGGGGATATACAACAGGAGAAAAGGCGCTATACAAAGAATCCATATCCACCCCAGAATTAGCAAGGCAATCAGCTGTAGCATTAAAAGCTCTAGGAACCCATCTAAAGGAACAAGACAGATCTGTAGCGATTTCCCAGATCTCATTCAAGAAGTGGTCAAACCTCCAGGGACCACCCATCAACCCAGCCCTAAAAATTCCTAATATCAGACTATTCCCTTGAAAAAAAAATTATAGCAATAAATATCAGAAAACATCATTTACAAATTGTTGAATAAAGTTCGTTATTCATCTAGATTCCTTTGCTTTTGAAAGGGGAAAGCTTATCTTTCCAATTTATCTAGATTCCTTTGCTTCATGATCCTTTCCCCCTTTACAGCGATCTTGATGATGAAACAGCATATCCAATCTCTTCATCAGGCAAGAGACACTCCAGACAGGTTCTTGGTGGATATTTAAGGGCCTTCTGCATATAGCAAGAAATAATAAATTGTGCTATGTTCTAAAACTGAGAGCAGCCTGCAAGGCATTCTGTAGAATATCACTAGACTTGTCAGTCCATCCCCTGAAACTGGTATATTTGACAAGATTTTAGTAAGAGAGAATGCTGTTGCAACATCTTCTTCTCTCTCAGAAAAAGAGAGAAAAAAGAGGCTTGAAGCAAAGCTGATTCTAGATAAATTAGCTTACAGGGATGAGCTAAAGTGGAGACAGAGAGCAAAAGTTAACTGGCTGAAAGCAGGGGATAAAAATTCTGGTTTCTTTCATAGGATGGCAAATGCAAAGGCTAGAGCTTGATGGTCAAGTGGGCAAATCTTGGGCTGAGTTGAAAAGTATAGCAACCCATTACTTTTCAAATCTTGTCAAGGAAAGTTGGAAAAGGAGACCCCTCCCTCTTGACTTGGAATTGAATAGGATTTCCGAGGTTCAACAAAGAGAGTTAGAAGCTCCCTTCTCAGAGGAAGAGATCTGGCAAGTGATAAAAAAACTTGGAAGTTGATAAATCTCCAGGGCCGGATGGGCTCACAAACCTATTCTATAAAAAGTGCTGGGAGATGGTAAAAGTTGATATCTTGAAAGTTTTTCAGGAATTCCATTTGAATGCTACTCTTGAAAGAAGGCTAAATGCTACTTTTATTTCTTTAATCCCAAAGGTGGAGGGAGCTACAAATATAAATGACTTCAGATCAATAAGTCTGTTAAACAGCTTTTACAAAGTCTTAGCCAAGGTCCTAGCTGAAAGGATGAAGAAGGTCCTGAATTCAGTGATTGCAAAAAATCAGTTTGCTTTTGTGCCAAGACAAATGTTGGATAGTGTCTTGGTGGCTAATGAGCTGATTGATTCAAGGCAAAGGGAAGAAAAACCTGGGCTGATTTGTAAACTAGACCTGGAAAAGGCCTACGATCACATTAATTGGAGATGTTTGGACTTTGTATTGGAAAGAATGAATTTTGGGCAAAGATGGAGGAATTGGATAAAGGTTTGCATACTTCTCCTAAATTTTCAGTCCTAGTGAGTGGTCAGTCGGCTGGTTTCTTTAAGAGCTCTAGAGGTCTTCGACAGGTAGACCCCCTATCCCCTCTCCTGTTTATTTGTGTGATGGAATTATTAACAGCCTTTGTGAGCCGGGTGGGAAATGAGGGTCTGTGACAAGGTTTTGAAACTACCCCGGGGGGAGAAGAAGTCCAATTGCTCCAATTTGAGGATGATACCCTCTGCTTTATTGATGCTGATGTGGAACAGTTGGATGTGCTCTTTGGGGTTCTTTGCTGGTTTGAGGTAGTTTCAGGTCTAAAAGTCAACTGGGCCAAAAGCAGACTAATTTCAGTGGGAAATGTAGAAAATATTCAAGAGTTACCTGAGGTTCTAGCCTGTCAAGTTGGTTTCCTGCCAACTATTTACCTGGGGCTTCCTTTGGGAGCTAAATGCACATCAGCTTTAGTGTGGGAGCCAGTGCTGGAGAGATTAGAAAAGAAGTTGGCTTCATGGAAATCAAAATATCTATCCTTAGGTGGAAGGATTGCTCTTCTAAAAAGTTCTTTATCAAATCTGCCCTCCTACTTCCTGTCTCTTTTCCCAATGCCAAGGAAAGTGGCCTATAAAGTGGAAAAACTGCAGAGAGATTTCCTGTGGAAAGGGTGGGAGGAGGAGAAGAAGATTTACCTGGTTAGTTGGGATCAGGTTTGTACCCCTAAAAGAAAAGGAGGTCTCGGGGTTAGGAAAATGAAGGTTTTTAATAAGGCTCTTCTAGGCAAATGGATCTAGAGATTTGGTAAAGAAAGAGGGAGTTGGTGGAGAAGTTTGGTTGCAGCCAAATACAACACAGACTATGGGGATTGGGTGACAACTGCCTTGGTGACCTCTCTGGGGTGCTCCATCTGGAAGGAAAGCATGGAAGTCTTCCCCCTGATAAATAGGGGTCTTTCGATTAAGCTGGGAAATGGTCAGAGGGTAAAGTTTTGGAAGGATATTTGGTGCAATAGCAGATCTTTAGCTGAGTTGTTTCCTCAGTTGTACCAGATTGCAGAGAATCAAGATAGCTTGGTGGCTGACTACTGTGAGATCTGGGGCAACATCCAGGTTTGATGCCCTTCTTTCAGAAGAAACTTTCAGGATTGGGAGCTGGACCTTGTTTCTAATTTGTTGGAATTGTTGTCCAACCAGAACCTGAACCAGATGGAAGAAGATACCTGGTACTGGAATTGGAGTAATGATGGTGTATTCTCTGTTAACTCTTTTGCCAGGTACCTAGTAAGTGGCTCTCAAGCTGAATTTCTAGCTGATAAAGTCTGGAGTCAGGTTGTGCCATCAAAGATAAGTGCTTTGCTCTGGGCCGTGGCACTGAACAAATGCCTCACCAAAAAGAATCTTGTGAGGAGGGGAATCTTGCTCCAGGATCTGTCCTGTGTGTTCTGTAATCAAGTGGAAGAAGATAGTAACCACCTATTTCTGCACTGTTCTGTATCCACTACAATATGGAACCATCTCTTGTCCCTTTGGCATCTCCATTGGGCTATGCCAGTGACTGTGTGCGACCTTTTGTGGTGTTGGGATCAAAGAGGTCTGTCCAAGATAGCAAAAAGTGTTTGGTCCTCCATCCGTGCTGCAGTAATCAGTACCATTTGGGTGGAAAGAAACAACAGAATCTTCAAGAATAAGCATAATGGAGTGGATCAACTAATCTCCTTTACTTTTGGAAAGTTAGTCTCTTGGACTGCTGCTGTGAAAGGGGTTCAACCAACGGTCTTGGGTGCCCAGCTGCTGGCTGGTGATATCTTGTAATGTTTTCTTGGTTTTAAGCCCCAGTTATATTGAGGGGCCAATTGTACTCTGTATTCTGGTTCTTTCTAATAATATTTACCTTACCTTTTTCAAAAAAAAAAAGTGTCCGTGGGAAAAAGGAAGAGCACAAGTGTAATTGATGGGATGAACAGTTTTTGCAATGCATATATAACAGAGATTAGCTCATTCCAAGATGATTGAATGATTCTGAGCCAAGGGCAAGAGTGAGGTGGTGTTCAGTAACTCTGAAGTCTGAAGTTTAAAAAGCAAAAAAACCTCCTAAAAAGTCTTAAAGCATTCAGTGAAAAATTTGCTTTTCAGCTTTTGCAGACATCTGAATATAGTGGGGTTGTTTGGTAATCTGAATGTTGTCACATCTGATAAGTTTTCATTTTACAAATTTGCCCCTCAAAGTCATTATTTAAATAAAAATAAATGAAAATGATTAAAGTAATAGGATGTCATAAAAAATATTACAAAATAATGCAAAATATAAAATATGATAAAAATCAATAAATAATATCAATAAAAATTAAAAAATAAAGTAAAATGTTTAAGGACTTAACAGCTGATGACATTTATAGAAGTTGGGATGAGGTGGCAGGTACTACATCCCTAAAGCCTGTGGCACAGGAAATGTGGTCCCCGCCAACTTTCCAAAGCATAAGGTTGAACTTTGATGGCAGCTCTATAGGTAATCCGGGCCCATCAGGTATAGGGGGAGTATTTAGAGATGGGGAAGGCAAAATTATTGCCATGTTTTCAGGACCAATAGGAGAAGGAGATTTGTTAAGAGCAGAGGTGATGGTTTTACTTCAAGGCATAAGATATGCCAAACAAATGGGGCTGCAACAAATGGAGATTGAAGGGGACTCTAAACTGTTAATGGGGTGGATGCAGTCAGGTTGTTTGGGAGCATGGAAATATAGACAGATGATAAGGGAAATAATCATTATAACAAGGGAGATCAGTGTGTGCTTTAAATGGACAAGAAGGTCAGCTAACAGGTTAGCGGATACCTTAGCAAAACAAGGAACTGTAAGGGAGAACATGTTTTGGGCAGTGTTGTAATGGGTATGTAACTTGGGTCAACTTCATAATAGGAGTTGACAGTTGTACTTTGACATAGTTTGAAATTTAATGAATTCACCATTTCCAATCAAATAAATAAATAAATAAATAAAGTAAAAATTGTAAAATAGTAAAAAAATATGTATAAGAGATCAGTAAATAATAAAATGATGTAAAAAAGATAAAATAGTAAAAATAATATAAAATGAATATAGTAATGAAAAATAAAAAATATAGTAATAGGTTTGGGCTTGGGATGATTTAAGATGCAAGATAATTTTGGGTTTTTTGAATTCTTACAGGGGCACCGCTGGAATAAACATTTTGTGCACTACTTTTGAACAGGCTTGGAGGTAGCTCGAAGCCTGAACAATTTGGAGGAATTTTTAGAGTTCGGTTGCTCTATTCAGAGGTGCAGCAGAACACCCACCAAGCACTGAAACAGCAAGTTTTTCAGCGTTTTTGTGTATTCAGCACAACTGAACACAACCTGAATGAGAGTGTTGCTGAAGTGAAAATGACCTCCATTAATGATTTTCAGCAGTTCTGGCAACTTGTGGCATTGAAAGCCAGAGTTTTGGGGCATGGTCTTAGAAGGAAGACAGAAGAAAAAGGTTTCCCTTTTTTTTTTCATGCTCTCATGTGGTATTGATACATGGGAAGGGACAGGTTGTGCCTGGAGCGTTGCAAACCAGCAAGACAACCACAAGCACCAACCAGATGATCCTGACCCTAATGTAGCACCCTTTGTATCATAGGTTACTGATAAAAAACAAAATAGCAATGCTTAGCATCTTTGGCTGCTTTTTGCACATCTTCCAGAGATCTTACAGGATGTTGTGAATCTGATGGCTGTCATTCTTAATTCTGTTCTTTTGCTTCACTTAGTTGCTAAATATGGAGAATGTTGCTAATTATGTTATTCTGTAGCCATTTAACTTTGCCATTCACAAATCCATTGGTTGTTTGTTTGTTGCTCATCAACCATATGTGCCATGCTTCCTCTCACTTATACTCTTGCTTGGTTTTGCATTTTTCTTGTTTGGGCTGCAAAGCTTGCTCCTTTTGTGTTTTCCTTTTTTATTCAATACAGTTTTTCTTTATTATCAAAAAAAAAAAAAATCATGGGCATATCTGATGTCAAAGAATTATATTATACAGGTCTTGCGTATGCCAGTGACAGCTCTGCTTCTTGACAAGGTATGGAGATTATGGGATGTATCTGTTTTTTTTTTCCTCTTATTCTTTGTTTTGCTCTTTGGGAAATCTAGAATCTGGATACTTGGATCAACATAAGCACTAAGGCCCCGTTTGCTTTTCGGTAAGTTACTTACCCGGGTAAGTGTTTCCCAGGAAAGACTTATCCGGGTAACTGCATTTACCCATGTTCTGTTATTTCCCATGTAAATAAGGAAATAACCATTTTAGCCATAAAAATCCATTATTAAAAGGGGCATTTTTGTCCCATTCAAGTGTGGGCAACTTTCCCCCAGGTGGGAAAGTTATTTACCCACCTAGGAGATGGGTATCACTTACCCAGGAAAATAAACTTTCCCTGGTCCCCACATAAATCTGAAAAAAAGAACATGGGATTCTTGGTCAATGGGAATCAAAATCCCATTGACCAACTTTCCCCCCTCTCAAAATCCAGAAAAAGAACACCCCCTAAAAAGTAACTATTCTATACACTTTACAGCATGCAGATGATTAGTTTCCAACATTGCTGTTTATAATTACTTTATTAGCCAATGAAAAATACATGTATGAAAAGGAGAAATGATCAATCAACATTGCCATATCCTTAAGAGTATTTGTTAGGATATGTGTCCCTGCTTTGCAAAAGAAGGGGCAAATTGAAGCCAAAAGTTTTGGGGTTCAATCCACAAAGGTGGGAATTTGTAACCATAAGCAAGAAATTGCCAAGGCTAGCTGACGCTTGCTACCTTTAAGGGGTAATTGGCATTGCACTAGCTGAGGCTTGTCATATCCTTGCCATGGCTTAAAACAGTATCCAAATTTAAAAACAATTTGGTGATTCCAACTACTTGATTTTACTGTATTTTTTATTGTTTACTAGATTTTACTGTATTCAAGTTTGGAAGGTGGAAGTGCTCCCTTAAATATAGGAGATATATTATAGAGTACATGCCCAGTCCATTAAAAGCTACTAGCATCCACATAACTAAAGCAAAGAAATGCAGGAACTTCAATTCGAGAAAAAATCATGGAGGTGGTTGTAGGATTACCAAGGCTTCTCTTGGTTTTCGAAAATCTTCCTATTTCTCGATTTCCTTATGTCCCATCAAATGGAAAAGAGACCATGGGCCAGATAATAGATTGTCTACAACTGATGAAAAAGAACCCCAAGATGTAATTATGTCTTTCAATGAGGAGATCTGCACCTAAAGTGTTTGGAGAACAGAGCAAAGAAAAATGTGCTCAGGCAAAAGAGAAACACTTGGTTGATTGATTCAGCTAAATTGCACATGACCCATCTATCATGGATTTGCATATCTCCGTAGTTCAGATGAGCCATGGTAAGCAGTTCTCAAGGAGACTAGCCACATGAATGCATCAATCCAAGGAGGGAACCATCTGCCCTAGATGTTGCTCATTCCAGCAATACCTATTACTTCTCTCTACCAAATTTCATTTTTTTAGTTGGAAATAAAAGATGATAAATGTTAAAGGTTAGTTCTGTATCCAGTCCACCCCTCCCAAGACTCCAGATATCTAGGACCAAATGACCTTTATTTGGAAATATAAGATCATTCTTGAGCTTTTGGAGGCAGAGAAAACATTCAGAGATTTCTCTACTCAGGAGAGGATGATGAAAAAGAGGATTCCATGACATTAAATTGCCCTGAAAAGAGACTCCTTGCTTGGAGATAGTCTATAAAGTGGTAGACAAATGGTATTTACCAGAAGTAGAGTCTGGTCAATGACCACCCATTAGTTTCTTGCCACCTCCTCTTTGGTGAATCTCCAAAACTATTTACCAAGGAGAGCCTTATTCATCAGAGCCATTTTCTAGAACCCTAACACTCTAAGAGCTTTGGGTGACACATTCACTTCCATTTCATGGATACATTTATATACCATTAATAATATATATTACAAATTGTACCATATAATGTATTTCTTTGAATTATGTTTTCTACCCCCACTTAAAAAGTCTAATAAACACTACACCTCAGTTATCACGCCCAACACAGGTTGCCTAATTGAGATATGATTAACCCCTTCTTTTGTAACAAAAAGTATATGGCTTTGAGGGTCCAACAAGGTCCACATAAGAGACCTCTTGAACTATAGCTAAATGCTGCTGTATAATTGAGTTATGGACTTCATTGATGACACAATTTGAATATATGGAAAGAAAAATAAGAAAAAGCAGTGACTGAACTCATCAAATGTAGAGGCTTCGCAACGTGATGGGTGGTGCCCAAATGTTTAGGTTCCATGATTGGGTTTGGGCTGATCTTTTGGCCCTCATACACTCATCATAAGTAGTCCCGAGCTTGCCAGGCCTGTAATCTCCTCTAATTAGGACTTTGGAGATGACATGCTTATATTGTGTTTTGTTGTGTAACTTAGAAGAGCATAAAATGCAATCTTGAAGATATTAAGAATGCTATACAAGCACAAAATAGGTTGTTACTTGCTAGGTTTAATGATTTCTATTTCAAATAATTGTTTCACTTATATAATGAGCATCAAGTGTATTTTCTATTATTTTCTAAAATTTTATCATAGAATTTTAACATTTGATAAGCTTTCTATAGTTTACACAACTTTACAAGTTTTTTTCATAAGCTTTTATAAACTTCCATGTATTAATTCCACTTCTGCTTATTGATCCCCCAAAAAAAAATTCCACTTATGCAAGGTCTGAAGTTTACACTGAAAGAAATCCCATTTCCCTCTTTTTTCTTTGAAATAAAAGTTACCTTTTCTTAAAAAAAAAAAGAAAAAAGAAAAGAATCCTCAAAAGGAAATTTGATGATCTAATTGTGCAAGAGGCTAAAAGTAACTTGATTTAGCTGAGAAGGTCACAGGAAACAATGTTTTGGGATTAAACAATGTATAAGAGTCTAACCAACTTGAAGACAAGATTCTTTCAAACATCAATTAATTTAAGGATCCATTATTATGTGCAATAGGGGTGCTCAACAAAAACAAAAAAACTGAACCAATCTGAGGAAACAGAACAAAAAAATCTGGTTAATCAAACCAATTGGTTTGGTTTTGGTTCGGTGTTTTTCAAACATCAATTAATTTGAGGATCCATATTTGGTTATGTGCAATAGGGGTGCTCAACACATTCATCAAAAAAATAGGGATGCTCAACAAAAACCAAAAAATCGAACCAAACTGAGGAAACTGAACAAAAAAATCTGGTTAACCAAACCAATTGGTTTTGGTTCGGTGTTTTTTAAACATTAATTAATTTAATTTGAGGATCCATATTTGGTTATGTGCAATAGGGGTGCTCAACAAAAACCAAAATTGAATCAAACTGAGGAAACTGAACAAAAAAATCTGGCTAATTGGTTTGGTTTTGGTTAACCTAAAAGAAAAACCAACAATTAACCAAATCGACTGGTGTATATATATGTGTGTGTGTTATATTTATAATTATAATATACATATTTATAGTATTAAATATATTATATTATATATTTATAGAATTTATATTATAAATTTATATGTTTATTTGTAATATATATTGTAAATATTAAAAACCGAGAAACCGAAGAACTGAACCAATCAACTGGTTAACCAATTGGTATCAATTCGATTTCGGTTCACGTTTTTCAAAAACCAGCAGTACCAATTTGGTTTCAGTAAAGCTGAACCATGAACACTCCTAATGTCCAAGAGATCTGTTCTAGAGCCTAAGTTTGTTGAAGAAGCTTTGGCAATATCTTGACTATGGTTCATTTTACCTTTGGTGATAATCCACCTTTCATCCTCAAAGTTATTTTGAACTCAAGGGTGAGTTTTTCTTTCTTTTCTTTTATTTTTCTTTCTATTTTTTTGAACTGGGAGAGAGTGATGAGGTATAAATTTGAGTATCAAGGGCAACTTTCCATCTGGAAAGTGGTGTCATGTAGTATTTCTCATCTGTATTAGTATCTTAGAATGTTGGTACAGGTGAGCTAAGCATGTCATGATATCCAGGTAGCATAGCATGTATTTTGGACTCAGATAGGGGTGATCATGGGCCAAGCTGGGCTTAGCACCTTGATAGGGGCTATAGCCCAGACTTGGACCCTGGGCCTGAAATACAAGTCCTTAAGGCTGGGCTTCCGGGCCTATGACTTTAAATGCATTATATTTGCTATATATATTACATGACATATAATATGTATAAAATACATGTTATACTTTGTATGGTATAGTATAGTATAACATATATGTTTTTTCTATCTTGGTTATCTCTCATCACCTTTTTTCTCTTTTGCTTTGTAATCTGCTGTACTCTTCTGCTCTTCTTACTCCAATAAAATTTTATTTTTTATTTATACATACATAAATGTATCTAAATACATACATTTATGGGGTCATCTACATGAGTTCTTTTATCGGCACTTAAATGATTTCTTACTACTACTGCCTATGTCCTTTTAAATTACGTCCATTTTATGTATGCATATATGTGTATGTATATATTGCAGGCCATGCCTAATGTATTGGGAACAGGCTTGGTTCGCAAATTTCTGGGCATGATTTGCAGGCTTGGGCCTAGGCCGAGCTGAACTTCACTAGAAATGATCACCCCTAATCTTAGAGATGGATATGATGTGTGTGAAATTAATTGTACACAATAAGTCCAAGGGACATATATAATATGCTTTAATTAATTTATCTTTATGTGACTATCATACAAGTATTTTAAAATGTTTGCTTAAATCATGATGTTTGGCACCAAATAATTTTTGTCAGAGCACATGTGTGTCTTCGGCACAATTGATTTTTTTTTTTTTTTGAGAAAGTTGTTTCCTCATGCAAGAGGCTGAAGGTTGAACACATTTCTTCAGGCAACCAAAATTTCCACTCGTAATCTTTTAATGAATATATTTTGTTGTCATTCCAACTATGTTAAGTTGTTTGACCTATCTTTTTCAAGAAACTTGTTGACGTGTTCCTACAATTTTTGGTTTAGTTCCAACTGCAATTGTTGTGCTGTAGCTAATGTTCATTGTCTTGTTCCTCTTGAAAAATAGGAAAGTAGCCATTACAAAGGTGTTCGGCTGGCATCCGGTCAGGAAATGTTCTTCCATCATCTGGTTGTGGATCCATCATATGTAGTCCCATCATCATCAATCTTGTCACTTACTGTAGATTTGCAGCAAAAAAGTGCTCACGGTTCTAGTCTGGCAGTAGTCAAAGGAAAAGTGGCTAGGGCAATATGTGTTACGAGGGGTTCTGTCAAGCCAGATTTATCAAATCTGTTGTTGGTATTTCCTCCTAGATGTAAGATATAAATTTTGCTTTATTTTGTTTTTTTTTTTTTGGAGGGCTGAAAAATATAGTTATTGACTGGTGTCTTCTGTGGCATGTAGCTTTGAACTCCAAGCAAGTAAAATCAATTCGAGCTCTTCAGTTAGGCAGCAATTTAGCTGTTTGTCCTTCAGGCCTGTAAGTTTTGCTGGCTAAAGTTAAACGGCTTTTTTTTATACGTAAAAGATCATTAAAATTTCATTGAAATCAATAAAGATAGGCACTGTTACAAGCATCCCAAAGGGAGGCACCAGATGCAGCCTCACTATTAAATAAAAAATGGCACAGTAATTACAATTGTGCCAATACAACTGATCCCTAATTACCCCTTGCTTAGCTAATGAATCAGCCAATGCATTAGCCTCTCTCCCCACCCATTGTATACTTAGATTCATCTTCTGTCTTAACCACTGGAACTTCTTCATTTCATCTCTATAACACCAAATCACTGAGACCGGATCTTTTACCCAGCCTACTACCACCTTGGAGTCCCCTTCAATCACCAGGTTGTCCAAGTTCATCTATTTTGCAATCTGAATGCCTTGTAAAACTGCAAACAGTTCAGCCTTTAGTACCTTGGAAAACATCATGGTTTCATGAAAAATCTTGTGTGTGTGGACAGAGAGCTTTAAGGCCACCTATAAGTATCTATAAAAGAAGAAGCATGCACCCAGTACCATGTACATGAGTCCATAAATGTATCTAAAATTCTAAATACATACATTATATTTATGTTTAGATGATACTATGTGCACTTGCACACAGTCACACACACAGATGGATCTTATTGGATTGAGTTACTAGATAGGGGGTGCAACTCAGGTTGGCCTGAATTAGCATTGTACACTACTTCGGGCTCAGGCCTTTGGGCTAGGCCCATTCAAAATTTGACAATAGCTCAACCCAGGCCTGGCCAAATTGCACTCCTATTTCTTGATGAACTTAACCTTGGCCAAACTTGGTTCTGAAGGGTGGCCAACCCACTCTTAGAAAAGTCCAATGTGAACAAGCTTCTTGAAAGATTGATATAGTTGGAACTAAACCATTGCAGTTGGAACTAAACCATTGCAGTTGGAACCAAACTTGGTTCAGTTTTGATGGATCTTAGTGGGATGCAAGATTGATAACAAATGAGCCATATGTACATATTGGTGTACAAAGGATAGTATCTTCTTTCCCCTCTCAAGTTTTCTTTTTATTTTCCTTTTTCCTATTCCCATGGGTAATTTTATAAGAAATGTCCAGGAGTTGACCAACATTTTTTTTTGTTTTTCTTGGCACTTAGGTTTCTTTTATATCTTTCGACTGTCTGTGATGATGCTATTCAAGGGAAGGAGTCACTACATGCAGCCATGGATGCACTTTTTACACCTGTTTCTGAAGACAATGATAGCACATCAGTAGTAAGTAAGGATATGGAAGGACAGACCAAGCCCTCTTTACTGTGGAGTGCCATGTATATTCAGGAGATGGCAATGGTTTGTTTCCTATCTCAGTTGTTACAGTTTGCCAATACATATGTGTGTAATTAATTTTTTTATTTACATTTGGAGAAGGTGCAGAATTATGAGGCATATTCACAGACCAATATGCAATCTCATTACATGCTCCACAGCTATTTCTTTGATCCACATTCTGGGTATAGATATTAATTCCATTTTAATGATAAACTTAAGAAAATGTGTAGGAAAAAAAACTAGGCAATACAAGTGTAAAAGTGAGGTGGCCCAAGTTTCATAATGTCATGGTCAACATGGGAATCCCACTTTACAAAGAATCTCTGTTTCCTCTGTATGTATTAAGGACACATGCCAAATCATTAGTGCAGTAGGCACTCATCTGAGAAATATGTTCAAAGAGAAAAAAAAAAAAAGCAAGATCTCTGATTTCAGGAACCAAATATCATAGCTACCAACTTTGCCAGAAGTACAGCATTCCTGTGCTTGATGCCTAGGGAATTCAGGTTGCTCTTTGAACTGGAAGGCCTTGTTATCTGGATGATGGTTGTTGGGCAACATCAGTGATGATGGTTTTCTAGTACTAATGAATATTATTTTGGGGTTGTTCCATTATCAATCTTGAATATCTGAATTTCTTTTTTACTGGATATTATCATGTAATTGGTGTAAAGTTTATGGTTCTGAGATCTTTGGTTGCTTTATTGGTACTATTTATGTTGATGGAACTCATGACTAATTGCAGGGTTCATCAGACACTATCAGCTTCTGCTGCATGCCAGATGGGAATTTAGACTACTGTGATCTCTTAAAATCAACTGTTGAGGTATCTCTTAATGAACGTCTTAAACAAACCATCTGACTTGTTTTTTCTTTCTCCTTTTCCTGTTAACTTTTCTCTTCTTCTAGTGCTTACGTCCTACTGGATGTTGCTTTTAATATGGGAAAACCATTTAGATCTCGATAGATGTTGATTACTCGCGACAGTCTTTTGTAGGTGTTTATGAACAGCTAGAATCAGCTTTATAGACGTTTTACTTGTGACAGTCTTTTAAGTAGATAAGATTTTATTAAAGGAGAGAGCTAGAGGCACAAGTGCTTCATATACATTTAGGGACAGGGCCTTAGTGGGTGCCACACCATCAAAACCCAAAAGCCATGTTAGAAAATACAAAAGAGCCCCCACCCATTACAAAAATCAGAAAATTGAACCCCATTAAATTGCTTTAAAATGGAAACCCACATAAACACAACAACTTCAATTCCAATCACTTGAACCTCATACCTTTCAGCATTGAAGTGGATATGGGGAATTAAAGGAAATAGGTGGCCCTTCCAGCAACAGGAGCGTCGGAGGGTATATTCATGATGTGGAGAAGAGTTTTAGTGATTGAAGTGGATAAGGGAGAATTCACCATTTCTGTTCTCTTTACGGATAAAGCTAATGGCTTTAATTGGATTGGTCATAGTTTTTAACTTTTAACTTTTTAAGGTGCTGAGGTGATGCTAGGTGATAGGGGGCACCTAGTTGCCTAGGAAGGCACCTACGCATCACCTAGTTGATGGGATTTTTTTTTGAATAAAAACCATGGATCCTAGGGTAATTCCCTAGGTTCCATAGCAAGCAACAACCATGTTTTACTACTAATTCTCTATATTCTTCATAAAAAATGCATAAACTTCATTTAAAACATATAAAATCAACATATTCATGAAAGAAATGGAAGAATGAAAAGAAATTTCAGAAAATAGAGGGGCTGAGACTCTATTTTTGCTCTAGATAAAAATAAAAAAGAAAAGGATGGAACGGATATGTATTGATTGGAAAAAGTTTTGAGTTCTTCCATGCTTATTAGTTCAGGTTTTGAAGTCTTCGAGTGTTCAAGACAATATACATCTTGTGTAAAAAATAATGTCTGTTTTATTATATAATCTCAAGAAGTTAAGAATATAACAGTATCCAACAGCACTGTGTAAAAAATATCTTGGCAGTCAAGTGAGGTGACCCTCTGTGAGCATCTTATTGCCTAGGTGTCACTCTACATGTTAAGTTACCCTGGTATTACCTGATTGTCATAGTTAGGTAGTATATCCTAGAGGTAGTCTCTAGGATACAAAACCATCCAATAAAACCTTACAAACCTGTAAAATAGCACAAACTGCTTTAGAGCACCAAAAGGTATTTATGAACAAAAAGAACTCATTAAAATCACAGATTTACTTTCCTAACCTTCAAACTGACAGCACGATTCTACCCATACCAAAATTAAGAATGTCTCTTTTCCTCTAACAACAAACTCACAACCCTCAAAACCACCACAAGTATCATCTCTCTTCACACACCTGATAAAACAAAATCATTTACTCTAAATTCTTAATTTATAACTTGATTGATTCATTTTTTTGTCATTTCAGCTCTGTTTGTTTACAGCACAAATCTGAACCGAATACAAAATTTGTACCCGGCTCAGTTTTGCATCTGTTTATTTGTAATTATAATTTATGACTTGCATTCTTATCTGATATAAACCTTTTGTCTCATTTTCACTCACTCCAAAATTGATGCAAAATATATACCACCTTCCTCCTACCTCAATGCTCTCTCATATAAAAGAGGGACCATATCATCTTGCTTCTTACCTCACTCTCAAACACAATCTTCCTCTATTATCTTTTGTATAGAGTGGGGACTACATCATTTTACCTCCTATTTTAGTTCTCACAAACGAATAAAACAGTCAATTTTGATGCAAAATTAAACCAGAATTTACACTTGGCCTATTTGTACCCCCAAGCATTTAGACAAATGTAAATTAAATTTGCACTGCAAAATGAGCCTTCGGAATCTCTAACTTTATCTCTTCTAATTTCAGAAACACTTTTCTTGCAAACTATTAACCACCTAGAAAGAACAACCGCAGCTTCTTACCTACTTGAATGTCTTTTTCACCCGTCACTTTTATGTCGGCTTTTTCCTTGAGATATTTCGACCCTGTTTGATTTCACTTCTAAAAAGTACTTCTTTTAAGAGTTGGGACCACACATTAAGTGGTTATTAAGTGCTTATATGTGTTTGGTAAAAAATTATTTTTTTAAGAAGCACTTTTTAAAAAGTGACCTTAAGGTTAATGATCAAAAAAAAAAGTGACCTCAAGGTTGCTTTTTTTCAGCACTTCTTGGAGAAGTGCTTCTTCCAATCGAATGGGACGAACCAGTCCCTGTTAATTTTTTAATACCCAAAATACCCCCATGTGAGGGTTTTCTTCCCTAGAATGCATTGTTTATATGTACGAGTGAAGTGATGGCTAAAAGTGTCATTTATGCCAGTATAAGCACTTGTGGGGAAAGTAGCTCACCAAACATCCCCACCCAATAAGTGCTTAAAAAACATAGCAAGTGATTTGGCAAGTGGGTCACCAAACAGCCTTAAGTGGTTGTTAAAAGAAGCACTTCTAAAAAGTACTTGTACAACAAGTACTTTTAACAACCTCTTATTCACCAAACATAGCCTTCATCAAATGGGATAACATCTTCAACATCATTTTGGTCCATTGCTACCTCTCCTCTCTTCTCAGGGGAGCATCCTCAATAGTATTAGAATTCTCTGATGATTATGTTCTATATCCCTTTAATAGGATGGGAACTTTTAGGATTATTTTATCGTATGTGGGTGCCTTGTAGTTTGTGCATTTTTTTGGTAAGAAATCATGTTCCCTTGTAATTTAAACTGATTAGAACATTGTTGCTTATTCTGAATATGGTAGTTGTTCCGTGAGATGTATCCCATGGAAGAATTATTTCCACAAACCACGGCTGAGAAAATTGAGGATGATGGCGACTCGCTGGACTAGAACCATCTACTGGATCATTTTTATTGAGTTTCCAGGGATTATAATGACAACTGCAAGCCTGAATCAACGTCTTCACAGGTGGAACCTTCCATGAAACAGTTCAATAGCCCTAAGATACTTAGATTTTATGCAAAAATGGCTAATGTGCATATTCATGTACACATCGAGGGCTTTGCACAAAGGTGTTTACTTAGAAATTTTTGTATTGTGAGTTTGTTCCATGTGTGCTCTGTTAGTATGTGTTTTACATTTTTGTTGGAGCTTGAGCAAATAGATATAAAGGGTACTGTCTGGGCCTACAAATTTGCTCTGGCAAGTAAACAGAATCCACCCCACGGTCGTTCATTTTTTGTTCTTGTTTTGTATGTATTAGTGGGGCCGAGGGCAATCGTGCACCAAGCGCTGCAGCTGGGGGGCCTGGGGGATCAAATCAAATGATTCGCACCGCCTGTTGTTTGCTTTTGCCATTTTTCAACTGCTGGACTAAATACTACATGAATGGATTCGAACTCCGTATACACAAGCAGGTGATTGACGTCATTAGTTTGAAGGCCGGAAGAAATTCACCCCGATTACCATTGAACCATGTGTTGAGCCTTGAGGTTGAGGTTACACAGGCAGATTAATCCTTAACAATCACCAACAGCACATTTTAAGATAAGCTAACCAGAGCGAGCTATCATCATTGTGATTTAATATCAATATCGGGAACTAAGAGAAAACGCAGGGTATTTCTCTTTGCATGGTTGTTGCGCTTGCTTGTTTCAGTCCCATTGACTTCATTACAGAAGTGCTTGCTGTTGCATCACTTCAGTGGCAATAGCATTTGCTCATGTTTCTTCATTGTATTTTGGTTCAACCAATAGTATGCAAGGAATTGACAAAGCAAAATAGGTCGTCTCCATTGTTAATCCTGTAGCAATCAGAGTCGCTCACGTAGGTCTTTACAATAGAAGAATGCAAGGAGTATCTATTGTTTCTATCCAAGGTGTTGGCAAGCTGTAGCCTTTTTTTTCAGAAAGGGTATTAATCCAACATTGATTTAAAACCAAAAAGTGGGATAAACAAATTGAACTTTGATGCTTGTGCCTCAAGCAATATGGGAGTGTGTCTAGAAGCCAGGCAACCATAATGTAGTGAGGGTTTTGCATTTTCACGTGTAACTGTGGAAGACCATGTTCATTCATTATATGATACTTTGAACTTGCTATATTGATGAAGAGGGATGTTGTGTCCAATCTCACATTTGTAATCTTCCAGCCTACTATCTTATCTTTTGTTAGTAACCTTCATGATTAAATTTAAGGGAAAATTCGTGATCAGTACCCTATACTTTGGCTCAAGTGACAATTTGGTTTCCAAATTTTAAAATGCAACAACTCAGTACCCAAACTTTCAAAATGTGACAATCCAATACTCGAATTTTCAAAATGTGGCAATCCAGTACCTACCGTTAACCAGACTGTTAATCAGCTGTTAAGTGACATTTGAAAAGTCAAAAATGCCCTAAGAATGCCATCTAATTCTTTTTATCAACCATCCAAACATTGACAATAAAATGAACTGTCCCAAATTCTAGATTCTTTTAAACAGTCACCAACTTTTTTGAATAGAAGAGTCTAGGATTTGGGACTGTTCAGTTTTTTGTCAATGTTTGAATGGTTGATAAAGAGAATTAGATGGTATTTGAAGGGCATTTTTTACTTTTCAAATGTCACTTAACGGCTGATCAACGGACTGGGTAACGGCAAGTACTGGATTGTCACATTTTGAAAGTATGTGTACTGGATTGTATTTTAAAATCCGGGGATCAAATTCACTCGAGCCAAAGTACAGGTTATTGATGGAGAATTTTCCCTAAATTTAACTATTAAAAGCTATGTTTATCTTGTAATATAAAAGGCTCATTTTTACTCATTTTCTAAAAAGATATGCAAAGCTTCATTTTGACAGGTGGACACAATAATGCCACGTCACTCACCATCAGAACAACTTACACTAGGAGTGATCATGGGCCACACAACGATTGGACTTGACCTTGGCTCGAGCTTAACTCTACATAGGCCTGGGGCGGGCTTCCAGGCCCAAACCCTGAATTTTACGGGCCGGGCTAAGAACCATCCCTATTTGAGGCATTTGCATTCCCAGGTCTCAGCCAAACCCGAATTTGCTAAACAACGACGATGAAGATTCTCCTTATTAATGAGTCTTGCAATCTTGCCGTTGTTGCGTCCCGACTCCTGAGCACTAGAAAGCCGAAGTGAAAAACTGAGAAAGATTTTCCTGTGAACCCTAGAAAAGGATCAGAAAAAAATGGCAGACTCAAGCTCGTCTGGACCAGATCGTGGCCAGCCTTCTTCGTCATCGGATACGTACGTATAAGAGTTCTGATTATGGTTTTCCCACTTTAGATGCCATCCGTTTTGGGCGAACACCATTCCTTCTGGTTTAAGTGTTGATTTGTTCTGAAATTTAATGTGTATAATGTGGGGGTTTTTTGTAGCGTCAAATCTATTGTTTTTGAATGCATGCATGTACTAAGAGTCTAGGACTTAGGTTTTAGGGTTAGGGTTTTGAATTTTGACTCTCGAAGTTTCTTTGACACACAAGCTTCCTGCAAAGGAAAAGAGCTTCAGTTAAAACTTTCGTCAGCGATGGCCTTTATCCAGGACAATAATTATAGTTCATCTTCTTTTGAACAACAAATAAAAGCTAGTTCTGGTGCAGAATTTTACCTATTTTTGCATGTCGAAACAATAGCTAGATTTATGACATCAATAGAATGACACAATGGCTGTAACTTAGCATTTTTATCAACGGAAATTCTAACATGAGGATGCTTGCTTGGGTCTTAATTGAAACTCAGTCTACGGCACTGTGGCTTGTAAAGGGTTCCGATTGAAGTTTCTGCTAATCATAAACTAAAGGTTCTAATTCGTACACTAGCACATGAATCCCTTACCTGTGCATACCAGAAATTGGCCATACAGAATTATAGAGAAAACAATAAAAACCTAATTTCTGTATGTGTTGATAAACTTCTTAGTTGAAGGACCAAGGCACAGAGATGAACTCAAATCAACATGAAGGACATATATATAAACTTGTGATGTTTTACCGTTGTTGTTCAAGTGATTAGTAGGCTGGGAAACTTGTCACCTGGGCATCCAGCCAGGTATCATCACCTAGGTTGTAATTTTCATATAGAAAATATGGGTGTTTTAGGTTGTTCCCCGTTTATGAATTAGCTTGTTTCCCTAGCTGTGAGTCAAGATTTTAAAGTTTTTTAAAGTTTTATCGAAACCTGTACAATTTTGATGTTTTTTTTTTGTTTTGATTGCGCATATGTATAGAATTTGACATGTATATAGTTTAAAATGAAATAGGAGATACCCAAATATTTAGCTAAGATGGTTACTGATCAAATATATACATAGCTAAGATAAAAGGAGACAAAAGAGGAATGTGCAGGTGTCAGAGAGGAAATGGGAACAAAGAGAGAAAACAGGAAAATGTCAGATATTTTAGTAATTAATATAATTTCATTATTGTGTTCTGTATGGATTATAAAACTTTGATGGAATTAAACAAATATTTTTGTAGAGGATGAACCAATCAAATAATAAATAAATCAATACCTTGGTCTAGCAATTAGAGAAAAAAATGAAGTGATTTAACATGTGAAAGAATCAAAGTTAAAAGTTGAGTTAAAACAATTTACATAGCCTATGAAAAACTGGGAGATGGGTTTTCTATTCTAATAATTTATGAAATAGAGATACAAGGGGAATGTGTATGTTAATTCATAGGACGGGAATAAACAAACAAATGAAAGGACACAGTGCTTCTTATGTTGAATGCAGAGATAGATATATAGGAGAGAGAATTCAAGTGAATTTGTAAATACAAGGATAAACAAATGATGGAGTGGAGCTCCTTTTTCTGATCATAGATAAGACCAAAAAGATGAACAGAATGACTTTTTTTGTCATCTAGTGAGTAAAATAATTAAGGGTATGGGTTTCTAATGCCTGGAGGTTTCTTGTTTCTGAGGCTGCATCTCTGAGGAAAGGTGCCGCAGGGACTTTCCTGCATCAACACCACACCTAGCATGACCAGATGCATTCACTTTGTCATGGGGCTCTTGAGCCATTATGGGTAAGGCCATCAACCCAAATTCAGCTTGAGCCAACCCATTAAGGAGCTTAAAACTTCCTTAATAACTTGTTCACTAAAAGACAATGCTACAAGTCATTCAGTTCAGCCACTTCAGCTGTTATCAAATACCCCCTGAGAGGCCTCTTGTAAAGAATGCAAAACATGGCAAGTGGTTAATTGAAGCTCTAATAAAATGAATACCTTACTTTCCCATTGTTGTTGCAGTTTATCCTAGACTTATTTTATGGTTTTTTAAACTCGAAAATGGTCTCAGATGATGTCTGTGTACACTCTTTTACCCATCTTTGTATGTTGTATGGTGGTACACCTCCCATGCAAAGACATGAAACTTAGGGACAAAATTACCCTGAGAAGATGCTTTATTGCTTAGTGCCCACCTACAGTGCCTGACAACTTTGCGTTGTGATTCAATATCCTAATTATATTTGGTAGGTGCCAGTGCTATTTATTGTCAGCTGATAGTGTTAACAAAACAGAAGTAGAATGGTCCTGTGAGAATTGATAGTTAATAAAAAAAAGGAACAAGGAGTTAAGATTACATTGCATTCATTGATTGTTTACTGCATACTTGTATATTAGGAAGCACCTCTTTCATGGGGAATGATTAAAAAAATATTACCTCTTTTCTTGACAGCAATTTAACCATTCTTGGACCACAAATGGTGTTTTGTCATAATTCATAAATAATGAATGGCTGCAGACGGTATCTGTTTATTTGGATTTGAATATGGTTCAGGGCAATCTGAGTTTGATCCTAATTCAATACAGATAAGATTCGATTTGAATCTGAATATTAATGAATCAAATTTGGATCAAGGTGTATCCAAATTTGATCTAATCTGTTCGCAACCCTAAAGATATATGTGCATACCATCCCAATATAAGAGCATTTAATAATGAAGCTTATGTCACTATGTCATTGCAATGTATGCCCTGCTCATGTGTTATTGCAATATCTGCCGTATGTCATGCTATGTATGTCCTGCTCATGTATGAATTATTGTGGCCCTTCTTCCCGTGTTGGACACCAATACTGCCTGGATACTGGCATAGGAGTCTAGATCTGATTTATGTCAAGTATGACTCAACAAGCCGGTGTCATGTTTAAAAAATAGAATTCAGGAGAAGAAAATATTGGATATCTTCTGAAACATCATGTGCCTATAGGGACATAATTGGGATCCATGCCACTATAGACCATGCACCTTGAGTCGATAGGCACAGTGGCACACATATATCATTTAGGGTTTATGTCCAATATTTTCTTTTCCCTTGTTGGACACCAATGTTGGATACTGGCATAGGTGTCTAAATCTGATTTATGCCAAGTAACTCTGCAAGTGGGGGTCATGTTTAGAAAAAAAGTATTCAGGAAAAGATAATATTGGATATTATTGATCAAAAAAAAAAAAGATAATATTGGATATCTTCTGAAACATCATGTACCTAGGGGCATAAGTGATTGGGCTTTTGATAGCTAGGAACATTCTATAAGAAAAGTTGCAACTTATTATGTCTTCTGGAGCTTAGTTTATGCCAAACAAGCAAGAAGAAATAAAGATAGCAATATGCAAAAATTACCTTAAAGAATCCAGAGTGTTGGATTTGGATCTGTGCCCAAAATAGACACTTTGTCCATTTGGGATGTCCGTGTAAACTATTAAATGGGTAGAAAAACCCTAGGTCAACATGGTATGGATCTTTTGGTTTTTTTATGTGGATTATTATCCATGATTTATTTATATGTTATTTTGAATCCCCTTATCTAGTAGAATAAGTTTCGTGTACATTTCTTACAGGAAAAGCAGTAAGAGGGATTTTTCTACTGCAATTTTGGAACGCAAAAAATCTCCTAACCGCCTTATTGTTGATGAGGCTGTCAATGATGATAATTCTGTGGTTTCAATGAACCCTGCTACAATGGAAAAGCTTCAGTTTTTTCGGGGAGACACAGTTCTAATTAAGGTTCTCTCTCTACTTATTCTTTTCTGCCATACTATGTAGAAATTGCTTTCGGACATTCTTTTACCATATTTGAATGTTACAGGGGAAGAAACGAAGGGACACAGTGTGTATTGTTCTTGTTGATGAACAATGCGAAGAAGCAAAAATTAGAATGAACAAAGTTGTGCGTGCTAATCTCAGGGTACGACTTGGGGATGTTATCTCTGTTCATCAGTGTCCAGATGTGAAGTATGGGAAGCGTGTTCACATCCTTCCTATTGATGACACAATTGAGGGTGTGACTGGCAACCTATTCGATGCATATTTGAAGCGTGAGTCCCGTGCAGTGTTTATGTATATAAGTTGATTTTTTTTCTGCACTAACTATTTTATGTGGAACTTGTTTCTATGCAGTATCATTGACGTGTCTGACACTCATGTCTTCTTGTATTCAACAGCATATTTCTTGGAATCATATAGACCTGTAAGGAAGGGTGACCTTTTCCTAGTAAGGGGGGGCATGCGGAGTGTTGAATTTAAAGTAATTGAGACAGATCCTGGTGAGTACTGTGTTGTTGCACCAGACACAGAGATCTTCTGTGAAGGAGAACCTATCAAACGCGAAGATGAAGAGAGACTAAATGAAGTTGGATATGATGATGTTGGTGGTGTCAGGAAGCAAATGGCACAGATACGGGAGCTGGTGGAGCTTCCTTTGAGGCATCCACAACTGTTTAAATCCATTGGTGTAAAGCCCCCTAAAGGAATATTACTCTATGGTCCACCAGGTTCTGGGAAGACCCTTATTGCAAAGGCAGTTGCCAATGAAACAGGTGCTTTCTTCTTCTTGATAAATGGGCCTGAAATAATGTCAAAGTTGGCAGGTGAAAGTGAAAGTAACTTGCGAAAGGCTTTTGAAGAAGCCGAAAAGAATGCTCCTTCAATCATATTTATTGATGAGATTGATTCCATTGCCCCAAAGAGAGAAAAGACACATGGTGAGGTGGAGAGGCGTATAGTATCCCAACTTCTGACTTTAATGGATGGTCTTAAGACAAGAGCTCATGTGATTGTCATTGGAGCAACCAACAGGCCTAATAGCATTGACCCAGCTTTGAGGAGATTTGGAAGATTTGATCGAGAGATTGACATTGGTGTGCCTGATGAAATTGGGAGGTTGGAAGTTCTTCGTATTCATACAAAGAATATGAAGCTTGCAGAAGATGTGAGTATTTTACATTATCACGCATTTTAGTTTTATTGTTACTGTCTAAATATGGACATGTTCCTTGCAACTTGTTTTGCAGGTTGATCTTGAAAGAGTTGCAAAAGATACCCATGGTTATGTCGGAGCAGATCTTGCTGCTCTTTGCACTGAGGCTGCTCTCCAGTGTATTAGGGAGAAAATGGATGTTATTGACTTAGAAGATGAGTCAATTGATGCTGAGGTTTTAAATTCCATGGCTGTGACAAATGAACACTTCAAAACTGCACTGGGGTCTTCTAATCCGTCAGCCTTGCGTGAAACGGTAAGTTGTAAATCAAATCTCTCTTTACTCAATGATCTTCCTGCTGCAGTTTCTAACATTTTATTTTATGAATATAAGTACAGTTATCTGATGATAGGTGATGTGGACTTTTCTTGGCAGGTTGTGGAGGTGCCAAATGTCTCATGGGATGATATCGGTGGGTTGGATAATGTCAAAAGAGAGCTACAGGAGGTAATTTTTCATTTTCTTGATCATTCTTCTGCACCTTTTCTTTCTACCTATAGTTATGTTTTATAATTGGCCATCATCCATCACTTTTAGCAATCTTGGTTCTTGAGAAGCACACTGATAATTCATTATCTGCTGATTTTCATCTGCTTGTAGATTTGCTTGAGGCTTTTGCTTGATATTATGTAATCAGCACCCTATACCTGTGTCATTTTATAGTTTTTTCTGCTATGCCTTTTTAGTCACCAAATTTCCAATGGGAAAATGAATTACATCATGTTTTTGGTTATTGGCAGACTGTCCAATATCCGGTGGAGCATCCTGAAAAGTTTGAGAAGTTCGGTATGTCTCCGTCCAAGGGTGTCCTCTTCTATGGGCCTCCTGGATGTGGTAAAACCTTACTTGCAAAGGCAATAGCAAATGAATGTCAAGCAAATTTCATAAGTGTTAAAGGCCCTGAATTACTGACTATGTGGTTTGGAGAAAGTGAGGCTAATGTTCGAGAGATATTCGACAAGGCGCGGCAGTCAGCTCCTTGTGTACTTTTCTTTGATGAACTTGATTCTATTGCAACTCAGGTGACTTGTTAATTTTACATGCATTTCTTCTTGTACTTCTACCATGCATGCACATACAGTGAATATATCTTTAAATAACTCTTACTGTTAGGGCTGCAAGTCGGGGCCGGGTTAGGTCGAGTTGAGGCTAACCCTAGCCCAACCCTAACCCTAACCCAACCCGACCTTCAACCCAACCAACCCCAACCCTAACCCTAACTAAATTCCTTCAACCCTAACCCAACCCAACCCAACCCGAAGTCAATTTTGGGTTGGGTTAACCTTCTTCCCATCCTTTAAAACCTCATAGAATTTCTCAACTTTAGATCTTAACTCAACTTTCACTACATATATTAATCCTATGTTTCATTAGTATTTGTTTGTTGACATTATATTTTTGTTTTTTTATTACAAAATTCAGAAAAACAAGTGTTAGAAATGACTATAGTTTATTATGAGTTATGACTTACGATAGATCTTTCTTGGGCAGCAAACAACATAGAGGAGATGAAGAATAAAATTTTCAAAAAACATAAAATAATTAATGTTATTAAGGTTTTAGTCTTTCTGATTAGGATTAAGTGAAGTGATTATCTTAAAAGAAATACATGAGACTGTGGTGAGGCCTATACAAATATCATGCATCTAAACAAATCGATGTATGTTATATATTAATATAACATATTTTATATATGACATGTACTATTGACTCCAGTTCGGGTTGGGTCGGGTTGGCTAAGGGGTCAACCCTAACCCAACCCGAAGTAAAGTCGGGTTCATGAATTTCAACCCTAACCCTAACCCGAACATCAACCCGACCCGACCCAACCCAACCCAACTTTTTTGGGTTGGGTTCGGGCCAACCTGGCCCAAGTTGCAGCCTTACTTACTGTCAATACTTTGTTGCTTGTTCTGTCAGCGTGGTAATTCAGTTGGAGATGCTGGTGGGGCAGCAGACAGAGTTTTGAACCAACTTCTGACAGAAATGGATGGAATGACTGCAAAGAAGACAGTTTTCATCATTGGGGCAACAAACAGGCCAGACATTATTGACCCAGCATTGCTCAGGCCTGGTCGTCTAGACCAGTTGATTTATATACCATTGCCAGATGAGGCTTCCCGTCTTCAAATCTTCAAAGCATGTTTGCGAAAATCACCTGTCTCTCGAGATGTTGACCTTTCAGCACTTGCAAGATATACACATGGTTTCAGTGGTGCTGATATCACAGAAATCTGCCAGCGTGCTTGCAAATATGCAATCAGAGAGAATATTGAAAAGGTAATGAAGTCTGAATCAACTCAGAAGTCAGAACCTTACTTCTGCTCTACTAACACCCCTCAAAGGCTATCATTTATTTGGATTAAACTAAAAAGTGATGCTGGATAAATTTGACCTTCTGTTTCAGGAAGGTTATCAAGAGTATATTTGTATGGTGCTGTAGGAGAGTATGCTGATTAGTTTTATCATGCTCAATCCTTGTAAACTAGAAAAATGAAAGTAATTATATAAATTGCAAGCTAGCTTAGTTTCTACTAGTCGGTCATCAACTTGAGCCAAAATTTAGCTGGGTCCAATTTTTTTTGTACAGAAGACCTGGGATGAGTCAGGTCTGTTTATGCATGGAGAACATCATATAATCTAAAAGTAAATAAGCGTCAGCTTTACAGTGCTAAACATTAATTCTCACAATATTGTCTCCTTCAGTTCAAATTATTTTTGTTTTTCTTCACTAGCACTTACGAAACATAGATTCGTTCTTTTTAATTGCTTGCATTTGATCCTATTGTTTGGTTCTCAGCCCAAGCCACCCCATCTGTGGGTGGTTTTACTTTATCGTGTTGGAGTTGAGCTCCTTGTTACCAGCCTGATTTGAAACCCTATCAGAACAAGTCACAGGTGGTGAGATTTCTGAAGCAAATTCTAGTCACTATAAATGGAGCCACATGTGCTTTTTGATAATAAAATACCACTTATAGCATTGTTATTTGGTGATCTCAGTCCAAGATGAATGATGTTTTAAGGAGATTGTTTTGAGATTTTCAATTTATCTCTTATTTTTAGCCGTTACTTCATTTGAGGACTTGCCAGTCTTGCTAATCCAAGTATACCTGCGGTTGATCTTTCTCAGTGGCTTATTGGTATTCAACCTGGATTCTCCATGTTTCTCGTTCTTCAAAATCACGGAGGTTCTGCTTTTAATATTTTGGACTATGTTGCTGAGTTCTGGTTCTTGCATTTCTGTTGTGGCTCTAATCTTGCATGTAGAAAGTACTTCAGGCCCACCACTTCTGGATAGGAAACATTGATCTGCATGCCAAATTTTAAGAATGTTTCATGTACTCAAGTTGATGTTGATCAGCTAAAAAATTTTCCGACATTGCTGATAGCTGTAATAGTTCACTTCATTTTCTTCATAAGTTGTTATTGAATGGCTTGTTGTGTTTCAGTTTTTATTTTTCTCCCCCTTCACCTATTAGAGATTTGACAGGATATTGAAAGAGAGAGAAAGAGGAGAGAGAACCCAGAAGCAATGGAAGAAGATGACACTGATGATGTCCATGAGATCAAAGCTGCACACTTTGAAGAATCTATGAAATATGCTCGCCGGAGTGTGAGTGATGCTGACATCAGAAAATACCAACTCTTTGCTCAGACATTACAACAGTTCCGTGGGTTTGGATCAGAATTCAGATTTGCAGATCGCCCTGAGAATGCTGCGGGCGGAGGAGATACAGATCCATTCTCTTCTGCGGCAGCTGCTGGAGATGATGATGACTTGTATAGTTGAAAAGTTGATCCCAATTACAAGTACTGTCAACATGTGGGGATCCACTGTTGTTTTTTTCTTTCTGTAGGGTTCAGAATCTTTGCCCAGCTTTTTTTCTTTTTCTTTTTGGAATCCTTAATCCCAAATAGCCTCTGCAAAATGCCTACTTTCATCGGCCACGTTTTGTAATTTTGTTAGATAAGCTTGTGTACTCATCCACCCTGATGCAACTTTCTTTTGCCTGAAATGTTAAATTCTGTAATTTCAGTAAAGTCGTTGAAATGAATCCATCGATTTATCTCCCGTTTTGATTGATTGAAACTTCAAAGTATGGGAAGAGGCGAGAGGGGTAAAGTCCACGTATGAGCAGTAACAGAAGAAAAAAAAAACCAAGATAGTTTTTCTCTTTGCTTGTTCACTAAAGTGATGCTCGACAATATGATTGTTGTGGGTTTTTACCGTTCAGTCCACCCCAGAAATTCTAGTTTCACCGTACAGTTCAGGTTAGGTGTCGGAATTGATGCCAATTCACGAACAGGTATGGGTGTTGTAGTGGAGATGTTTATAAATTTGAATTGTTGTAAGTCTGTAGTTCAAATCAGAATTGTGAGGTGGAGTGCAGTCCAAGAATCTCTGTTGTTGTTTGTTTGTTTTATTCTTCAAAACAAAACGTTAAAAACCAACTACTCTGTTGATGTCGAAGTTGTTGTTTTGAAAAACATTCACTATTATTCATTTCATATATTCGAACACCCCCTCAATGGACCATTTAACTAAGGATTGCTTGGATTTATTTCGCAGGGGTCTATTTAGCGGTTGCGGTGCAGCTCATTTAGACAAAATTCCCTTGGAATTCCATTTTATTGAATTTGAATATACGATTCATCCCAATCTGATCTGATCTGATCGGAATCAAATAATATGATAATGAGGAACGTTAAATTGTACTCTTTCTATCGCTTTGACGTGTTTTCATGTTAAGGGTGTTTGTGTATTATCGCAAGTTAGGCAATGGCATCATTTTCATTCTGCATTGACACGATATATTATTGTTGTTAGGGTGGCGTCATCTATCTATATGCCCAATTCCTGAAGCATTCATGTTGGGTTCTTTATTTGATTTAGGAGACCAAATTAGTTTTTTTTTTTTTTTTTAATTTTTTGAAAGCAAACAACACGTTGTTGGAAAGAATGGGACCTATTAAAAAATATAGTCTTTTGTTTGGGCTACAAAACTAAATGAAATTTGACTTGTATAGAATTATAGTGGAATTTAGAATTCTGCAGTAGTGTAATATAGTATACTTTTATAAAATAACTTTCTAATTTGAAAAGGAAATGACATTTTTTTAGCTAAATGCTAAGATGGGATCCATGCCATTATCCCATGTACTGCTTGTGTTGCCAACTGTTCTCTTGCTAAAAGTACAATGCGTATTAATGTAGTTCCGATCTCAAATACTTCAAAGTTTTCTAGCCCAAGCTAAATACCTTAGGACTTACCACATGGATAGTGGTAGTGGGTCTCAACTAAAATATGTACATATAATTGTCCTGTACTGTATATTGGGTCATCAGCTAGTCTAATATATGAGACTGCTTAACAACCTCTTGCTCAGTATGGGGCCTCCATTTTTATCTATTTTGTTTAAGGGCCCGGTATTCATGTTATGTCTTGGACCATTCTGACTGTTTTTTTTTTTTTTTTTTCTCTCTCTCATTTACGGACTTGTTTAAAATCAAACAATTTACTTTTATCTGGAAAAATGGGACCCAAAGGCATGGGCTAGGTGAAAGTCCTTCCCAATTGTCCCACTCTACGACTCTGTTCCACCATTTTTGTGCCCTGGCCCCTGATGAGGATCGACCGGTCGAGTCGAGACTCGAGAGGGCACAATGAAAATTTTGGAGCGGATCAACCCCGATATAAGTGATTGGGAATCCTTTATGCCGTGTTTGATTTAATAGAAAATAAGAGAGACAAAAATTCCTCGAGAACCTTCACACAACGCTCTATTTCTCTCTTATTTGTTTTGTCAAGCCAAACACAGCTTTAGTGTAAAACTGTAAATAGGGCGATGTCAAAACAAAAATAGCGTAAAAGAAAATGATAAGACAGTTATATAGTTGTTAGGGAATCCTGAAGCTGAAGGGATCTACGATGTCTTTTTTACTTAATTTCCCACATTGCATGGGCTGAATATTTTTAGGACAAGTAGACGGTAGATGTCATTTTGGGGGGTGTGGGGCCCATTATTTGCATGGGCCATGGGTCTGGTCTGCAGCTGCAAGTGCAAGTGCAAGTGCAATTGTTGTTTCTCTGTAACTCAGAAGGCATGTGAGTCACATGAGCGCAAACAAAGGGCTGCCAAAGGAATCTATCCTCACTCCTCACTGCCAACCTCCCCCCTTAAACCAAAATTTTTATTATTTATTGGACAGAATTGACACCACCCACCTTATTATGTTATTCATTAATTAATATCTTAAGTCATGGATATAGATCTAACTGTCCCTCACGTGGCCCGGGGGTGCACTTATAGGAAGCTTCTCACTTATCCTTCAAATAATTAATCAAACAATTAAACGTGAGTGAGGGAATAGGGATAGAGATGGGACGGGCTTTGCACTGACTGAACCCGGTTTCATAGGGATATGAGTGGGAAGCTTTTTTCTTTTTGATTTTTGAACAAAACACCACCCAATCATTACCCGCAATTCCCCACAAAACCAAACCACACATCCCTGATCCCTCCTCCTCCATCTCTCTCACGTCTCCAAAAAACGAAATCAACCTCGATAAAACCTTTTTATATCAAACGTCCAAACTCACACATCCCAACATAACTACCTTACACACGGATATCCCCGGCCAAAAACACTGACTTCACGCTGAAGCAAGACAACACAGGCAAAAGCAATTAATCTTAATCCTCCTGCTTTTGGGAAAGAAGTTCTGATGAATTCTGTGATATCAAAATTCATTCCAAAATGGTGATTCTTTTAAGCAGAATGCTAACCAACCAAACGCAGCCTAAGCAACTGGAAACAGGAAACTGGGTATCTCCCTCTCCTCTCTCCTGTTGTTTTACTAAAATGCCCCTAAAGGCTGGGTTACCCTTACCCATAGACATTAGGCAAACGAACAGAAAAGAAGTATGTATGTATATACAAAGAAAAGGTCATATAATTTGCAAGATACCCTACAAATTCATTGGAACAATAATGTTAATTTGCTGCTATACACTCGAATTGATCGTACCTCTTGTCTTGTTACCAGGGTCACCAAAAAACAACCAACCCTTTTTCACTTCACTCTTTACAATGGCCAAAACAGTCTATATTGCTTTTCCCACATTTTCTCCCTTTTTGGGTTTTGGCTAACAGACATATCGTTCATTGGTTCCCCGATGGAATCCCACCAGACGAAGCTGAGTACGCTAGTGAACAATGAGATGACTCCTGGAGAATGAACATCTGCGCCGGAGATACCGATGACGAGTAGGATGGAGTGTCCGACGACTTGTTCCAAGAGTTACAGCATGTGGGCTTTTGGGCTTCGCTTCCGGCTGGGGAATCGTGGCGGATCTCCCTTAACAGTGCCGCCACGTCCTTCATTGTCGGCCGGTCTTCTGGACGGTTGCTCGCGCAGAGCAGGGAGATCCCTAACGCCTGCAGCATTTCTTGTATCTGGGAGTCTGGCCTCCCTTGCAGCTTTGGATCAAGAATTTCAACTGGGTCCCTCTTGCTCTTCAGATGATCCCGCACCCATTGGACCACGTGTTGCCCATCGGGAAACGATGGATCAACTGGTTTCTTTCCGGTTATGATTTCTAGCAGTACTACACCGTAGCTGTAGACGTCGCTCTTCTCTGTGATCTTCAGCATACAAGCATACTCTGCTCATGTCAATTCAGATGAAAATATTATTAGAAAACCACGATTTTTCTTAATAAAAAGTAACGGATTAATACTTGAGTAATTTGGGAAAATCACAAGGAGAAATGAGTCATTTCAAGTTGCTAAAAAGACATAGAAAGCTCACCCGGCGCCATGTAACCGTAGGAACCGGCGAACTGCGGCGGGTTTGCGGAAAAGGAGCCATTTTCGTCTTCAAGGAGCCTAGCAAGTCCGAAGTCCGCTAAACAAGCCTCGTATCTGTCCCCCAATAGTATATTCTGGGTTTTCACATCCCGGTGCAGGATAGCCGGAACACAGTCGTGGTGCAGGTAGGCCAACCCTTCCGCCACGCCCAACGCTATATTGAACCGCGTCTCCCACTCAACCAGTCCCGAGTGTCCGTCGTGCAACAACGCTGCCACCGTCCCGTTCGGTAGATAGTCGTAGAAAAGCAGCTTCGTCTTTCGATTAGCGCCCCAACCCAACAGCCGTACTATATTCCTGTGTCGTATACGTGCCAGCGTGGCGATCTCCGACGAGAAAGCGGACGCCGAGAACTTCTCCGACGACCGGAATCTCTTAACTGCTATTGTTAACCCCGAAGGAATGGTGGCTCTGTAAACGACGCCTGAGCGGCCCTTCCCTATGACGTTGGCAGCGGTCATGCACCTTACCACGTCAACAATAGACAGGTCGAGCTTCTGGTAAAGCGTCACCTCCCAGTGTGGTCCCATCTCTAAGTCCTCGTCACCATCAATATCACACTCGTGGGCTCCACTGAAACTATGCCGGCGCTTTCTGCCTCTCAGGATGATAAACAGAGCTGCCAGGAGCAACGCGCATGCGGCGCATAGAAGCACCACCATTGCAACTCTAGCTGCAGCAGCGGCGTGTCGGGCCGCTTCGCCCCGAGTATCGGCGGCACAGTGGTTGCCGGAGAGGCAGAGAGACGGGTTCCCCTCGAGGTTGCTTAGCGGTAGCTTGGTGAAGAATGGTGTGTACGGTATACGCCCCGAGAAATTGTTGTAAGAGATATTAAGCGCCACGAGGTTCTGGAGAGCCGCAAGGAACTGAAGATCGCCGGTGAGCTGGTTGTGGGAGAGGTCGAGGATTCCGAGCTTATCTAATCCGGAGAGCTCCTCTGGGATCTTGCCAGAAAGCTCATTCCAGCTAAGATTTAAAGCTATCTCTAGCGCCGGAATTTTGCCCAGGCTCGGTGGAATCTCTCCTATGAGTTGGTTCCTGCCCAAGTCAAGGAGCTGTAGTTTCGTACACGAGCCGAGCTGTGACGGGATTGAACCTGAAAACCGGTTCTTTCCAAGGATGAGTTTGCTGAGCGACGTCAGCGATCCAAGATTTGGATTCAACTCTCCTTCTATCAAGTTGTCGGAGACGTCAACATATTGAAGTGAAACGAGCCGGTTGAAATCGGTAGGCAGGTTGCCTGTGAAAGAGTTGGAATGTAAGTCGAGGAATGTCAGGTTCTGGCAACCTGATATCTCCGACGGTATGACCCCCGTCAAACGATTCGAACCGAGGTCTAAGAAACTCAAATTGCGCAGCTTCCCGATTTCTGGCGGAATAGGACCGGTAATCTTGTTGCCATTGGCTCTGAATCGGATTAACGACGTGCATTTCCCAATCTCGGGTGGAATTTGGCCTGAGAGATTGTTCGACAGTAGCAGCAGCTTGTTTAGATTCTGCAACTCAAAGATTCCTCTTGGAATCGGACCCGTTAGACTGTTTTGAGATAAATCAACGGCTTCGAGATTCTTGCAGAGCGAAATTGAAGTCGGTATACTCCCCTCGAGCTTGTTAGCCCACAAGAACAACAATGTGAGATTCACAAGCCGTCCGAATTCGGATGGAATGGTGCCAGTGATTTGATTGTTATCGAGTCCGATGTGAGTGAGACTCTGGCAATTCCCCATCTCCGTTGGGATCCGGCCAGATATTTGGTTGAAACTCAATTGCAACTCCTGCAATGAACTCAAGTTTCCAAATGTTTGAGGAATGCTCCCTGTGATCGAATTCAGCGAAATGTCGACAACCAATAATTGCTTGCAGTTCCCGAGCTCCGGAGGAATTACGCCGATTAAATTGTTCTGCCACAGCAGTAGATTGCTGAGATTGCGCAGATTTCCCAACTGGGCTGGAACAGAGCCACTTAGATCGTTCTCGTACAAGTAGATGTTTTGCAGCTCGGTACAGTCGCCAAGCTCAGGTGGGATCTGGCCTGAGAGGAGAGCGGTGTAGATGGCCAACGTTTGCAGTCTCTTGAGGAGCCCGAGCGTAGGAGGAAGAAATCCTGACATGCTTGTCTCAGCAAGGCCTAACATTACCAAATTGCTACAGTTCCCAATCTCTTGAGGAAGTGGACCTTGGAGATTCTTGTTTCCACCGGCCCTGAGTACTTCTAGTTTCTTCAAGCTCCCTATGGTACTGGGGATTTTACCGCTGAGCTGATTGTCATACAGAATCAACCATGTCAAGCTCGAAAGGTTCCCGATTTCGATCGGGATTGAACCCTCGAGCCGATTGGAATTGAGATAGAGCGTTTCAAGCTTAGTCAGGCTGCAAACCTCACTGGGTATTTCGCCTGTTAAGGCGTTGTCACTCAAGTCCAAGTAACTCAATTCACTAAGGCTGCCTAGCTCTTTAGGGATGGAACCAGTAAGGTTCGTCCCCGACAGAACGAGCTTCTGCAATGAGTTCAATGAGGATAAGTTGGAAGGAACATGGCCGAGCAAATCTACATACCTCAGCTCCAATTCCACGACCTGGTTGTTATTGTTGCAGGATATCCCGGACCAATTACAGGGGCTTTCGTCACTTGGGTCCCAATCAGTCAAGACCTCCAGCGACCCGTTCAAGCTTCTCTTCCACGAAAGCAGTGCTTGACCTTGTTCGTTGACGGCGAAAGCCATGAAAGACGTAGAAATGGATAGAGAGAAGGAGAAGAGGAGGAAGGAAAAGAGGTTCCATGAATTTACAGGCATCAGTACTACACTAAAGTCTCTCTCAACTCCTGGGCGAGGGAGGGAGAAGAGGATGCGCAAGTGGAGACAGGAAGAGAAGAAATACGGAGAGAAACCAAACCATGTCTTGTGGGCTAAATTTAAATATGAGTTCAGAGACCCAGAATCTCCGGATCCAAGAACAGCTAAGCCATGATGTTTGTGCAGAGAGACATGGAATTTGGATGCTGTTTTTTCATTTGTTTATGGCAAGAGAGAAGAAGTGAGCTAGAGGGTGAAGAGAGAGAGAGACCCTTTTTTTTTTCTTTCCCTCTTTATTTTATTTATTTAATTAACGAAAGTGAGAGATGGGTAAGTGACTTTTGTGTATTTGTTGAAATGCCTTTATCTCCTTAAAAAGTATGGCATAGCTGTATAGATATGGTCTATTAACAGTTCAACTCTTCTTCACTGTTTCATGTCGAGCAGATTCAGCGCTGCTTCATATAAATGAATGGATCTTTGCATGGTGGGTCTCTGATTCGGTACCTCCTGACCTACTAAATTAACTTGCAATTCGAGTGCAAACACTTGACTTGCATCAAGTTGTGATGGACTGTGAAGTAAGATTTTTCTTTTGAACGAATGAATGGCTGAGATCAATTGCATCAAGAGTTGGCTTCTGATTTTTAAATTTTTATTCTTTTCTTTATATAGTCAGTCGGATCCAATGTTTGTCAGTCTGGGTCTATACAAGGAAAAAAACCAAGTCCAACTTCTAACGTTGTCAATGCCCGTTATGTGTATTAAACTCGAAAAATCTTTTAAATACTTGACTAGAATTACTTAGATCAAATGTTGAAGCGAGGCCCTAACCCTAAGCCATTGGATCAAATCCTATGTAGGATATAAAGATTGGTGGGATTATTTTACATGGTGGAGTCTCGCCCACAAAATCAGGCAATCTCTGACACACACTCAATAAAAATTGAGGCATTTTTATAGAAACAGCGAGATATCACGTGTTGCAGTGTGGAGCCAAGTCAACAATATGTATGAGATATCAAATGCCTTGTGACCACACTGTACACTTATATTATCTTATCTTAATATAAAATTGGTTTTAGACAGAAAGAGAGGCAGTGAGAGGGCGTGTGTGACTGTATTTGTGTTTTGGAATCTAGGCACGAGGGAAGGAGGTTGCACTTGCACATGGGGAAGAGGAGCAAGACTCTCTCAAGAGAGAGAAAGAGAGATGGTGGATTGATAATGGAGATGATGAGGGGGCTGATCGAGAGGGTGGGAAAGGAAGATTTTTAATTTATTTTAGAGGGGCCAAAGCGTCCATTGGTGTCTGACAGCTTTTCAATGTGAAAATTTTTGTCCAGGGCAAGAGAAAGAGACAAGGTCCATAAGGAAAAAGTATAGAGAGAGAGAGAGAAGTCCCCCACCACCACCTCCTCCGCCTTGGACGTGGACGGAAGTCCTTGCCCTGAATCCCTGATTAACACTWMACAGTTTGTCACCTTCTCCTCCCTTCCTAATTCTAATTACTATTACCGTTATTGTTATTACTGTTAGACCATGCTCAGCAGTAGTAAGTCTCTGGAGACAACAACATAAAAAACAAGACAAAGCTAGCTAATAAGGCTCCTTACAGATTGGTTTTACAGAGTCATCAGTGATTCAGTACAGTATAAATACCACAGAAACAACTAGACAAGAGTATTTGGTCACATGTAAGACACCTCTTAAAGCCAAAGTTTACAGTTCTCCTTCCGGTGCTGATTTGGACACTCCATGCCAAAAAGACAAAAACTACCCTTACTTGCCATAAATAAAGTCCAATAATAGGGCTATACTCGTCCTTATGAAATATGCATTATCAAAAGTGGGCTATATATGCTAGCTAGAATTCTCTTTTGTGAGCTATTTATTTTTAGGAGTTGGAGTCTCAAGTGTCAAGCAGATGTCAGATCAGATCTTTTAGCCTAGTATATGTAGATCATCTGGGTTGGGTTGGGTTGGGTTGGGTCCATTAAGGGTTGATGCCAGTGCAGTGGAACAGTGTTAACTAAGAGACCATCGTTGTAATTCCATAGGTAGCTAGTAGGTGTACCTTACCCCATAAGCATGGAGAACATTTGGTGATTGGTGAATGAGAAGTGACTCCTCCACTGAAAGAGACTGGAGTAGCCAGTGTGTGGGTGTCCTTTTCATTAGAAAAAATAATAATAATTGGAGAAGTTTCTATCTAAAATCCATCCATGTAAATTTGTAGTGAAAAAAGGATGGAATGGAGAGAGCGGGGACGAATGATGAATCGCAACCAGAAACACAGGGCTCCCATTATATGGTGGAACTTGAATCTACCGATCGAGACTGTGTCGTTGAGATGAGTGCCCTTGCGTCTATTTTAATGGACTTAATGGCTATTTATATTTGTGTTTAATTCGGCAGCAAGGTTAAGGTTGTATTTGTCATTCCTTATTTTAAGCACTTATCTTTTTTTTTTTTTTTGTTAAAAAGAGATAAATCCTTAATAAGAGTTTGGATATGTTCAATTACAGGATTCACAGTATGTATTAATTACACATCGATCAGGAATATCTCCTACACCTGTATATTAATTTTATCGGAAGTATTTTTAATATGTGATGGAATGTAGCTGTGAGATCGGTGGGAGGAGCATATCCCAATTTAGCTAATAAGTGCTCATGCCATCCATAAGTGAGTTGACTGTCTACATGAAATGAGTGAATCTAGGTAAGATATGGATACACCTGGTATTGGTGTGTAATTGTGTATTGATATGGTCAATGTGCTATTTTTTTTTCGCTTTATAAGTATTTTAGAGTGTCTCAGTCATCATTTAAAATTTTAAATATTTATAGAAATCTTTATATTAATATATCTAAGAGTATCAAGGTACATGAAGGATATGCCTATTAACTAGTGTATTGATTGTCTACTCAAACTCCAAGCTGGAAGTAATTTCATTAAGAGGGAAGCCGCCTGGTCACAGGATTAGGAGAGTTGGTAGACTCCAATTAATTAATGATTTTATCAAGTGAAGTCTTATGACTTAAGGGGTGTATTTTATAAACATGATTTATTTATTGTTTTTTGTTGTGATTTTTTAAAAGTTAGACCAACAATTTATTTTAAAAAAAAAACATTACTTTTTTTTAATCAAAAACACATAAAACATGTCCTTTGGTTGTTTAGTAATTTTCTTTAGGCTCAGTTTGGAAAGAGTATAAATATAAATATGTAAAATGTAAAACCTTATATTTTATATTATTTTTTCATGTATTTATATGTACATATTTGTATTTATACTCTTTTCAAATTGAGCCTTATTTTCTAAAATTGAAACTTTAAATGCTTTAAAAGCATCCTTAGCCATAATGTTCAATAGACACTCTAATCGAATCAGTATTAGTTCAATTCTCTTATATTTTTTATTCTATGGGGCTAGACAACTCCTTTGAAGGTGGCTTCCACCAGAGACCTTATCAAGTCAGTCAGTTGGACTTTTGAGCCATTTGTATGAACTTTTTAAAGCAATGCTGAACAAAGGATCTCTAAGACCTTCTAATGGTAGACCACATCAGTATTCTCGAAATGAAAACACCTTCAAAACAAAATTTGATAATTAATAAGCAGTAGTCAATTGTAGGGTCATTGAATGGAACAAGGAAACAACACAACAAATAGATCGGCAAAAATAGATACCCTAGTTCTGGCTATATGGATACAGAGAAACAACATAGTCTTTTTTTTTTTTGTTTTTTGGTATTTGGTGCTATATACCATTAATAACTTCCTCCTGACTCATTTTTCTCCAAAATATTGGTTGCGGGATTTGATTTTGCACCAATATTGGAATAAACCAGCTAACACTATTAATAATTTTTTTTTTTTTTTTGTATTAGGTGCTATGCACCATTAATGACTTCCCCCTGATTCATTTTTCCTCAAAGTATTGGTTGCAGGATTAGATTCCATGTCAATACTGGAACAAACCAGCTAATACACCAATGAACCAGCCCTTAGTTCTTTTAACATACAAAGCCAACTACCCAAACCTAATAAAATCAATAGATACAGTTTAAGTGATGGGATTTCCTCCAAGCTAAAACTATATACACATTCTGAAAGTTTGAGAATCCAATTGCATATTGAAAATTTTTTCCTTAAATTTAACATATATGTATAGGTGATATTTTTAATGTACAATTGAGTATTATATCATATAGGATTTTTGCTTGTGGGAGATCCGGGCTTACGACTTAATAGATGGTAAAAGCGTATGACAACACTATAGGACTAATGGAGGAACAAAAAAGGAATTGGACACCACCAAAAGAAGCACAAATAAAGATAAATTTCGACATTCATTAGGGAAGTATGTCATTCGGCAATAGGCATAGTAGCAATTAACAGATTCAACTAATCACATAGTGGAGACAACTTCAAGAGCCCTACGAATCACAAGTCACAACAATTGATATGGCAAAGGAAACAACATCAAGAGAAAGCACTACTCAAAAGCAAAAAGAGCGATTAGTCAAAATTGGCTAGGAGATTTCAAGCGAGTGATCAATTTATTATAAGGACATATAAGGATTAATTCTATGGAAAATAAGAAGCCCGATTCTAGACACGTGGAAAATGGGAAGAAATAATGGTGATTGATGAACAATTTAAACATTTACATGGAATGAAACCAAACAGCAGACAAAATGTTGCTACACATAGAGCGTGCAATTAGATGGTGGCATGTTGAAAGAAGAACACCCTTTAGGCTCGGTTTGGAAAGAGCACAAATACAAATATGTAGAGTGCAAAATCTTATATTTTATATTATTTTCTATATATTTTTTCTAAATTGAGCCTTGAAAGGAGTATAAATGCAAATATATAGAGTGCAAAACCTTGTATTTTGCGTTATTATTTATGTATTTGTACTATTTCTAAAGTTTCAGTTATGAAAGAATATAAATACAAATATGTACAGTACAAAACCTTGCGTTATACATTTTTGTATTTACACCCTTTCCAAACTGAGACTTGGGCTGCATTTGGTTGCAGTGCAATTATACTTGCACGAGGATAAATGCATGGGAGTGCAAATGCAAAAAATGCAAATTCTGGTTTAACTTTGTTTTGGGTTTTACTTAATTCTATTCATGTCTTTATTTACTCCATTTGTATTGCAATCAAACAAAATAAGCTAAAATTTGAAATAAGAATAGGTCAGAATTACACTCAAATCATTTGCACTGTTATAATTTTGCATCAGTACAAATTTGTTTGCATTGCAACCAAACATAGCCTTAGGCTTAGTTTGGAAGGAGTACAAATACAAATATATACAAAATACAAGGTTTTGCACTCTACATATATGTATTTGTAATCCTTCCAAACTAAGTCTTAAGGACTGTTGAGGATAAATTATTCCAAACAAAAAAAAATAGATTTTTTCTTTTTGTAGAAATATTTTTTGTTTATTTTGAAAACAGATTTTTTTCCAATTAAACTGAAAATATTTTCACTTTATTTCAAAAAA